TTTGAAGCGCCATTGGGTCAAAAACCCGGGAAAATACTATCAGGGGCGTGCAATTCGCTTCATCTATGAAACCTGGGCGGTTGTGAAACCCGTTTTGCCCATATAGGTCCAGTGAGGGGAATTTCGCTGACAGTATTACTAGTTCTGTCAGTTTCTTTTCAACGCTTTTCTAAAAAGTGGCCGTCGACGGCTCCGTATAAACAAAAGGAAGGACTACAAATGGTAAGGATTCCTTACCGACATTGGAAATACTTTTATCAGCTGCGACAAAAGTGTAGTATATGGTGAAATTAGTGAAACTGGAAAACACACGCCCTCCATAGGCAAAGTCACGATTTAAGTCTCATTCAAATCTGATGTACGAACTTTAACGTACTCTCGGGCCATTATTGGTAGAAAAGTTTTCTCAGTGGCGATATAAGATAAACGATATTATTTCTGGAGAAAGTGCTCCTCATAATCAGTTATTTGGGCAGTGGTTGCACGCATTTGAAACGGTGGTTATTTTCGGAGTACTGGTGAATTTTCAGAAGGTTGAAGTCTGCGGTGTCAGAATGCAGCCAGTTTCCAAAACAAACGACAAAGCAGGGACCTTTGGGCTTCCAGAACCCTATTTTGTTTGTCCGGATGCTCACATCAACACAGGGAGTTTAGTATCGGCGGTCATGAAGAAAAGCAATATGTCTAGGGTGTCTCACTCCGCTTTCGAAGTGTGCGCATCCTTAGGCAGAAGCTGAGTCATATCATCTGGCAGTAGGGTCGCGATGCGTTGCAGGTGAGTAGCTAATCGGTGGGCTGGTTTATGAAGTTCCAGCCGCGGGTCCGGTGCTCACAAATAAATCGCAGCATCTGCTTTTGCCCTCCCCCGCCCTCCCGGTGATTGTCAGCCCTCAGGAAGTGGAAATCGAGGGTTGTGCCCAGACTGCGGGCGACAAGATGGGCCGATATCAGCTCAGGTGTTTGCGAGAGGAGGCTGCTTGCCTCCTGGTCGGCGTAATTATAGGGACAACTGTCATATGGAATAGAATAAAGAGTGCCCAAATTGTGCTATCTTCGGTCAGTTCGGTGTTGAATATGAATGGCTGACAACGGCTAATAGGTCGGAAATGGCCATTACAGTCTCCCCTGTCTTTGTTGTTAATACTATTTTAATCAGTTAGCTGTTGATTCGCCAGATTCTCATTGAGCACTGCAGCCTCAGAAAGCAGGATGACACGGACGCAGGCGCTGAAAAGCAAAATGACGCGAACATGCGCGAGACAAGTCGAGAGTCCGGATCTCGAGGCACACATCCCCAAACCGAGGTTTTGAGCTGCCTCTCGCCTATCAATTTCACTACCGGGTGGCGCGATTTCTGGATAGCGTCCGAAGATTTTCGGATAGGCGGCTTTGCTTGTTTTTGCTTAGAGCGCTTTTTAAATAACCCTCCTTTGGATGCAATCTAACCGACCGAAAAACCAAAACGCTGGCATACTTCAGAAACAAATGACACGCGGGATTTCTCGTTAGGGTGGTAGGCTTGTTCGACTGGTAAATGTCCGCTCATGACTGGCAAAACTCCCGGCATTTCCTTGTCAATCAAAGTAAATCCTTCCTGGAGTTGCTTCTATGCTCGGCTAAGGAAGATCTTGAGAAAAGAGCAAACATCTGCAGTTAGGGAATTTAATGATCCGTAAAACTGCAAAATTTTTCTCCTATACTTTCAGCATTCAAATTTAATGAGGGCGGACTTTACTACAGCTGTTGTCTATACATTTTGTGCTTGGAGGAATTTAATACGTGCTTGGAACATCTACATGACACCGGTACCAGTAGAGGTATAACTAAATTTACGGTCAAATTGCCTTTGAGCCAAATGTAAATGGAGAAAGGAAAAGTGGCTTCATGAGATCTGCAAAAAATAGCCCATTTGAGACTTAAGGGACAACGGAAGCAGATAATTTTTTCAGGGTATTGCTTTGGGTATACTTGATTTCAATATTGTTTAGCAATCCGATTTTAACCGTCTCCGATCTACAAGTAAAAACTTTGGCACAGCAACAATGTTAAATTACCTAAGTAATGAGGGGTGGAAGACCTTTACAAATGTTGTCTCGTTCAGAACATAAAAGTTTAGTTGGCTTCCTAAACGGCTGGTTCTGATACGGTTGCATTCATGTAAGAATGATTTTTTAGAGTATTTTTTCTGTCTATACTGATGGGTTTGGATGCAGATACCAAATAATGGGAAAAATTCTTGTTCCATCTAACTAGTCTCCTTCTTCTCAGTTGGTTTTCACAAGTATTGCCGCAGGGGTGACACTTCAGCTTCAATCCGATGAAGTTCGCTAATGCTTAAATCTGTACGTTAGTGGGTAAATATGAATATATGTGTTCAGCAGAGGATCAGTATCAATATTAAGTAGAAATTTAGGACTTCGCCAACAACAGAGTCCAAGGCTAATGCCCTGAAACTGCTGTATGACCTCGCATCAAAGGCTGCCATTTCCTTGGCAGTAATGACCTTGACCTAAGGACCTACAACTCTTGACTACCTATTAGTAATTCATACTTAAACTCAGAATCAGAAAAAAATTACTAGCAGTTTGATTTTTAATTTGCCGGTTGGCATAGGTACGTCAAAAGCATTCAGATTTTTTATTTAATATCATTTTTACTCTCCCTCGTTCTTTAGCAAAAACCTTTAAAACACTTCAATTTTATGATTATTCCTGGTCAAATCTGCATGCCGAGAGCACCTTGAGTCATGCTTTTTTCTAGTCTTCGACAAGTGCATGGTTAGCTAGATAGGTTAAATTAATCAAAGACAGGGATTCGGATAAAGTTTAAAGTATGGACAAAGGACAATCATCTGATCCAAACCGCTTCTGACAATGAGGATACCGTGGTATTTTGCTAGAACCTAAAATCTAATTAAACGACTGAACGTAAGAGGCGACAAAATTTACAAAAACGCATATACTGGGAGGTATACGACGTTAAATACCCGGCCGTTAATAAAGATAACAAAATTACGAATAGCAGTCTAGGAGAGTTCCGAAAGTTCTTTCGATATTTTTCGCTTTAAAGACTTATTAGTCGTTCACAGTTATAATACTCTGTCTTGCTTAATAAATAAAATTTGTTTACAATTGTAAGTTGGGGCAGTTTCCGCTCATCGAGGTGGAAGGACTGAGAAGATACCCTGGAGTCTCATTAATGAAAAATGAGCAAACGCACGAATGTGAACATAGGCGCGCCGGGATTTAGACAATGAATGAGCAGCGCTTTCGACTGTACGGATTGTGGAGACCTGACAACGTGTCCTATTCATACAGAACTCATGTGCTTGTATTGCAACTGCAGCTCTCTCTGTCAGTTCCTTACGTTAAATTAGTGCAAATGGTCTTTCATTGACATTCTTTTGGCATGAGAGCAGACATCCGCGATAACGCGGTAAGGAGGAGACGGTTGGAAATGGGAGACTTTCTTCGGTCTTTTCAATTCATCCTGTGGTAAACCTGGAGCTAAATTAATTGATTTTCGATGGACTTTTGCGATTAGACTGTGTGCATATGTGGGTCGTTTTATTTTACTTTCTTAGACAACTTGCGAATATAAAATTGTAAACGATTCCTAAAATGGATAAGGTGCAAAGTTTGTGGCCGAAGTGGGAGAAAGACGGGCTAAGGCTATGTTTTTCCCAGAGAATTGTAATCCGCGCCACAATGAAGAAGACAGTGCCAAAATCGCGGAACTTTTTAAACGAACCGAAGGCCATTAGAGGCAACAATGCGAATACCAAAAAGTAATAACCACGCCGTTTCCAAATGAGAGACGGAAAATTGTTGTGCAATGACTATAAAAGATACAGATGCATGTTCTGAATGAGAAGAAGGTGGAAACGGCCGGCGGTCAACGTTTTGAAGCGTTGGAACATGAAACTGCCGCTAATCTTGGTTTATTTAATAAAGGAGAAGTCCATAACGCCGACGACATTTCAACGCTAGCGTGCGAGTTCACAAAAATATGTCACTTATATTCTAGGAAGTTTCAGTGGATTAATGCTGAGGAGTAAGGTGAAGTATAACACCAAACAAACTCCAGAGGCTGTACTTGAAAGTCAAA